AAGAGGTAGAGGAGAGCAATGTGTATGAATTTGCTTTTTTTCTTTTTTTGAATGATAACTAATATTTTAAAAATATATTTGAGTTTGATGTTGTGATAAGCAGCACTGTAGTCAATTAATGTCCTGGAGTTTTTCTGCTGTGAACTGGGAGTTGAAAAAGACCAAAACAGATATAAAAAAAAAATGAAACGGCAAAAGACAAAAAGAAGGACAGGAGGATTTTCTCAGTTTTGGTGTAGTCCAGTTTTGAAGGGAGCAACGACAACGAAGGAATCAACCGTTAACAATTTGCCCCCACCATCCACACTCAGAAAATATAAAAATGTCTTTCCTTCATTTCAACCAACACGTGCGCTACACTGCACCTTAAAAAATGGAACCTCAAGTGTCTCTCTCCTGAGTCGAAGCATTGCTGATCCACAGGTTAGTTTCGAAGGACAGGCCAGTATCTTCCCAAGTAAACAGGCTTACACCTGCATGGCTGATTAGATCAAATTTTCTCTTTTTGAGACAAGGTGCATGAAATGAGAGGAATGCTCCAGCTAAAACACCTCTCTTGATGGAGCTTGCACAGAGACAAAAAACAGGTGAAAGAGCAGCGCTAAGCTTGCACACACCTCAAAACACCTGGGAACCGATCCAGGTCAGTGGAGCGATTCCGAAAAGAAGACTTTGGAGCTCAGAGGAATCCTTGGATTCACAGGTGAGAATGTGAAGATTGAGGGAGGATGAGGTCAAAGAGAAAACAATGGACAAGAGTTCAACTTCTCCTTTCGGACACTTCAGAGACTTCCTTAAATGTGTACGTGTGAGTGTATCAGGCCCAGCTGCCATCTATTAGCAGATGAGGAGGCATTACATAAGGACCTCAGGGGGACGCGGCCTCAAGGGAGTGCCTTGAGCCATGCCTGCGCTTTCTTCTCTGACAATGTAGAGTTATCTCGTCTTTCAGCTGACCATACGCACACTCAAACACAGAGTATCCACGCACTCAGCCAATGTTGGGGCCTTCCAGTGGGTGTGCTGGAGAGAATGGAAACAACCTCCACCTGAAAAGAACAAAAGAGAAAAAAAAAATTGAATTCTGAGACAAAAAAGGCTTGAGCAGCAACTTTTAAATGGTAGGGCTGACACAAACAACAAATAAATAAAGTGTCTATTATTTATTTAAACTATGTGAGCATTTGTTTATATAAAGTATTCTGTGAGTTGTGTGAAAATGTACACTACAAATAATCATTCTATTATGCTTCTTTGGTGCTTATTTTGGTGCTCATTCTGGTGCTCAATTGTAAATAATGATTCTCTTATCAATGCTGGAAAAACACTGGAACAGCTTTTGAGGCTTAATATTTTTGTAGAAACCACAATCCATTTTTTAGCATTCTTTAATTAATATAATGTTCAAATAAAACAGCATTTATTTAAAATACAAAACTTTTGTAACATTCTACATTTCTTTACTGTCACTTTTGATCAATGTAATGACTCCTTGCTGAAGAAAAAAAATATTTTTCCATAAAAATATTAGCGAAAACCTGTTTTTAACATTGATAATAAGAAATATTTCTTGAGTTTCACATATTAGAATGATTTAGGGCTGCACGATAAATCGCATGTGATTGTCATGCGCATCTCATCAGTAAAGCCGGTTCTGTGATTAGTAGTAAATCTCCAGCACATGCTTTCAGATGGAGCGGCATTTAATACACAGAGCCATAGATCACTGACAAGCTACGCAATATCGAGTTCATAATCGAATGTGATTCATCTGCGATGAATCACATTCATCGCACCCCCGATCCATAGATGAGGGGGTGTGCCTGAAGCATGAATCCGTATTTAGAAAGGCATGGAAAACAAATAACGTTTGCTAACGGTTGCCTGTTACATTACAGTACTTAAAATTTCACTTACCACATAAACAGAGTAAGGAGAGATGACTGAGGACGATGGCGAATGATTTGCAGATTCTGAACACCACTGACAAACATCTAATCTTGTAAAATGTGTGGTAAGTACTGCCGCTCCATAGTATAAACAGAGTATGTGCGATCGCGAATCTCAAAAATGAAACTAAAAAGCGATCGTGCATTCAAAAGCAGTTTCAATGCCAGGCATAACAGCGGATCCCTGATGCCCGCAATTTATATACAGTATAATTACCCAATGATAAAACTGCGAGAGAAAGTATTGAAATACATATTTTCCTTCCATCTCGTATTTATTCCCTTTAGGGGTTCCATTGTACACGCCATTTTCTTTCCGAACACACGGATTGCGGGGGGAGGGGGGAATCACGATGCCGGCTCAACATCGTGATATCCATCAGCCATCGGCGATAGACGATGGCATCATCTATCGGCCCAACCCTATTTACTAGGGATGCACCGATACCACTTTTTCCAGTACTCGCCCGATACCGATACTTTTATTTTTGGTACTTGCCGATACAGAGTACCGATACCAATATTTTTATTGCATTTGTACATTTTTTAAATATTGGGTACAGAAACCATAAACAGAGTAAGGAGAGATGACTGAGGACGATGGCGAATGATTTGCAGATTCTGAACACCACTGACAAACATCTAATCTTGTAAAATGTGTGGTAATTACTGCCGCTCCATAGTATAAACAGAGTATGTGCGATCGCGAATCTCAAAAATGAAACTAAAAAGCGATCGTGCATTCAAAAGCAGTTTCAATGCCAGGCATAACAGCGGATCCCTGATGCCCGCAATTTATATACAGTATAATTACCCAATGATAAAACTGCGAGAGAAAGTATTGAAATACATATTTTCCTCCCATCTCATATTTATTACAGCTGTTAGTATGACAGTATTTACACAACTAACAATACTTAGTCGGGCAGCCCTTAGCCTTAATGACAGTCTGTAGCAACCCTCTACATTGCGAGTAAATCACTCGCATATGCGACTAAATCTTCACTCTGGCGACTAAATGATGTCTAATATTAGCCAATTGCTAATAAATTCTCAGATTTTACTCGCCAGTGTGTGAGTTGGAGGCTAAGTATAAGTTTAGCTCAGATATATTTTCACTCGCCGAACACTCTCTGACTGAGCGCATCAGAGTTTCACTCTCCACTAAGCGATCTGTGCTGTTTTTCAGTTAATCTAAATGGATGCGCAGCGCACATATTTTCCTTCCATCTCGTATTTATTCCCTTTAGGGGTTCCATTGTACACGCCATTTTCTTTCCGAACACACGGATTGCGGGGGGAGGGGGGAATCACGATGCCGGCTCAACATCGTGATATCCATCAGCCATCGGCGATAGACGATGGCATCATCTATCGGCCCAACCCTATTTACTAGGGATGCACCGATACCACTTTTTCCAGTACTCGCCCGATACCGATACTTTTATTTTTGGTACTTGCCGATACAGAGTACCGATACCAATATTTTTATTGCATTTGTACATTTTTTAAATATTGGGTACAGAAACCAAAAGAGTATGTATAATGTTAGTTGGTTAACTTCATTTATCAAATAGATACAGTCAAACCAAAATATATTCAGACACCTTCAACATTTCTCACATTATCACAGTTTACTCGCTATAGTTTAGAAAATGGTAATAAAATATGACAAGAACTCAGAGTTAAACAGAGTCAGAACAAATTCAGCTTGATAATGTCACATAACTTTGATAGAAAGGTATGTAATAGATTACAATCAACCAAAAATTAGACAGCTATGACAGTATTTACACAACTATCAATACTTAGTCGGGCAACCCTTAGCCTTAATGACAGCATATAGTCTCCTGGGCATGCTGTCAACCAGCTTCATGCAAACCT